TATTAATTAAGTATTTCTTATATTGATAGTTTATTAAATTTTATAGAATAGTTGACTTTATATACTCAATGTTAAAAGTTATATTAGGAAATAATTTATTCTTGTTAAAAATTATGAAGATTAGATTTATTTCCTAATATAACTTTATTTCCTTTTTTATTTTAGTCTTTCATATTTTATGATTTTTTCTTTATCTCCAAATAATTATTATAAATTGATTAATTGGACATATTAGATGTTATATCTTTCATTTCATGTTTATTTATTTTTCATTTCTTTCCTATTTTATGATTAATGTAAGGGTTATTTATAACCCATTTTTATATCAATAATAATATTTTGCATTATTATGAATTTTAACATGGTATCAGAGTCAAAATTCCCTACCCTAATTGCTCGTCCTCCTTCCAGAGCCGTGGACTCTCTTCCCGCCATCCTCCTTACGAGAAGGGAGAGATGCTCTTCTCTTGCATCAGCTACCACGACCGAAATTGCTGCTTGAAACGACAACTTCTAGTTCTTCTCTCCCTGCATGTCTTAAGCCTGTCCGCAGACCCTCCGTAGCATTGCCTACTCCTTTGCTGAAGTTAGGATTTCCAGGGGAACTCTCAAGCAGGAGTTTCTCTTTCTTTTTTTCTTTCTTTCCTATTTTACGATTCATGTAAGGGTTATTTATAACTCATTTTTATATCAATAATAATATTTTGCATTATTTTGAATTTCAACATGGTATCAAAGTCAAATTCCCTACCCTAGTTGTCCGTCCTCCTTCCAGAACCGCGGAGTCCCTTCCTGCCATCCTCCTTGAGGAAAGGGAGGGATGCTCTTCTCTTGCCTCAGCTACCACGACGGAGACTGCTGCTTGAAACGGCGGCTTCTAGTTCTTCTCTCCCTGCATGCCTTAAGTTTGTCCGCAAGCCCTCCGCAGCATTGCCTACTCCTTTGCTGGAGTGAGGATTTCCAAGGGAACTCTCAAGCCGAAATTTCTCTTTCTAGCGGAAATCTCAACCCTTAGGCGGGATTTTCTCTCTTTCGTAGAAATCCATGGTGTCATGTGACTGCTCTCAATCCAGAGAACGGGATTTATTGATTTCTCTTTCTGGCAGAAATCATGATTTTCTCTCTTTGGTGGAAATCCTGACCCCCTCGGTGGCCTGCAGTCCAAAGAATGGGATTTATTCATTTCTTTTTTTGGTGGAAATCCCGATTTTCTCTTTCTTGCAGAAATCTCGAACCGCCTGCAGGATTTATTTTTTCTAGTGGAAATCCATATTTTCTTCTTATAGTAAAACTGCACAGAAGATAGGAGTTATTTTCCCCCATTGGCTTCCTTGCAGATTTCAGCCACCGATCCTTCCTATAGAATTTTCCCGCCATCAAAACTCCCTCCTACAGTCTTTCCCGCCGCCAGAACTACCTTTGCAGATTTCCCCTGTAGATTTCAGACAGCTAGACCCCTTCACTGCATACTTAAAGGCCGTCGGATCTACTCCTACCAGCTAGACCTCCTCCCAAAATGGTTGGATCTCTCCTTGCAGGTCCCTAACAGCCAAAAATAATCTCAGTCGACCGGAAAACTTCCATGTAAACCTTCACGACACCTTCTTGTAGGCCGCAAAATCTTGTCGGCCACAAATTTCGACAGCCACCTTTGTGGTGTCCTCCGCCATTTCACATGCATGGATTGTGGAAATGATGGGAGCTTGTCACAAAGGACTTCATCTTTGGTTTACTTTCAAAACAATTTAAGAAAAGTTTTTACTGAGGCGAGATTGGAAGTATTCTTGAATGGAATCCTAAAACTCGGCCTACATGCCTTTCTACGTCAGTTTCTTCCCTACTGTCGAAAAACTATATGCAGATCCTTCTTTGTTTTTGTTTTTTTTTTTCCTTTGACACTTAAACTCTCCCTACAGCCAAAAATATCATGTTACAAGGTCCCTACAACAGGCCATCCTCTGTAACTTTTCCGGCATCAGACTCTCCTCCGGAGCTATTCCTACAGCAAGCCCTCCTTCGGAGCTTTTTCCCTGTATCAAGCTCTCATCGAAAGCTTTTCTGCAGCTGGCCCTACTCTGGAGTTTTTTTTACAACAAACCCTCCTCTGGAAATTTCTCCTGCATCAGGCACTCCTCCTGAATCTTTCTTGTAGCATACCCTTCAGAGCTTTTCCTACATCATGCCCTTCTCCAGAGTTTTTTCCTTGCAGCAGGCCCTCCTCCGGAGCTTTTCTTTGAAGTTGGCCCTCAAGAGTTTTTTTTTTTTCCTTGTAAACCATACCCTACAACTTTCCCTGAAAGTTGTATGCTTCCCTGCAAACTTTTCTGCAGCAATACCTATAGAATTCTTTCGCCTACCGACGGACACTGCAAAAAGTACAGTCCAAGACAATCGCAATACAAAATGAAGATTTGAAGTTCTACCACAAAGGGTCTTCTCGCCCATTGATATTTTCAAATCCAAGTTGAACATTATTTTCAACCATGTTTAAACTTGAGGGGGGTGTTAGAAATTATATTAGGAAATAATTTCTTCATGTTAGAAATTACGAGGATTAGATTTTATTTCCTAATATAACCATATTTCATTTCCTATTTTAGAGTTATTTACCTAGATTGGATTTATTTCCTTCCTTATTTGAGTCTTTTTTATTTAAGATGTTTCATTTATCTCTAAATAATTATTATGAATTGATTAATAGGAGATATTAGGTGTTATATCTTTTTTATTATTATTATTTTCTTTTTCTTGTTTTTCTTATTCTAGGATTCATGTATGGGTTATTTATAACACATTTTCATATCAATAATAATATTCAGCATTTTTCTGAATTTCAACACCCCATAACAATGAATATAGGAGAAATATGCTCGTTGTTTATTCTTAGGAAAATAGGCTCAAAAGTTCACTTCGAACCAAAATGCTCATGCTTTTAACAACAAAGTAATTATGTAAGTCGGTCACAACGAATATGGATTCTAAAAATAGTTCAAAAAAATTCAAATATGTTCAGAACTATATTCTAAAAATATTCAAAACATCTTCAATATCCGCTCAAATCTTATTTAAACTCTTATTTAAAGAACGGGTTTAACAACCTTTTAACTATAAGTTCAAATAGAGTTCAAATAGCTCAAGCTACAACACCATTTAAAATTATGCAATTACGGGCATAGGTGCTCCTCTGTGCAATCATAAATAAACCGCGTTGAGGCGTACCTTAGAGACATTGAGGCACACCTTATTATGTGCTTCGCCTCAAATTAAACAAGGCTCTGCCTCGTATTTGAAATTAGGTATTTACTTAAACCCACAAGCCTACGTTATAATATATGTTTTGTTCGAACTCGCTGGCCTCCAGTCTCGTATTTTGAGAGCTTTGTATGTAATCATCTTAAAAATATTTCAGGTTACATATAAAACTGAATAATGAATAATAAGTCACTCAAGTAGACAATCATGCTCAACTTGCTCAATTTTGTGCGGTTTATAATTTTTTATCATGTTAATGTCTTCTTCTCATATATTTACAAATTAACAAGCTAGCATATATATATTTTTACCCATTTATGTTGAAGAAGCAATTTTCAAATTGTGAAGCTTATGCCTCAAACCACCTTAAGACTTATGTCTCACCTCAATACACAATTGAAAATTTTTAAACTTTGAGCTACACTACATTTAATTACAACAAATATGATGTTGCAAATTCAATTGGCGTCTGCACAAGCTTATTTTGAAGATAACCCTAAATGATTTCATAATTAAGTGATTGCTCATAAATTTTTTGAAAATGATCGTGAACACAACAAAGAAGCTTAAGAATATATTTTTAGATTTTTAGTCCTTGAGAATCCTTAAATCATTAGATTTATAATTACAAAATGATAGTCACAAAAAAAATCTATTAATTTAACTAAAATAAAAAATTATTTAATTTTTTTTTATATCTATCATAAATTTAAGAAAATAACTTTTAAAATCATTTAAAAATATTAGCAAGTTGAATTTATTTTAAATTGCTACAATATTCATTCAATTAAATTTATTTGGATTTATGAGTTAATTTATCAATCATCTAATAAAAGATAATAAGTTTAACTTATATATAAACAAACTTTATTAATTATGTGTTTCATAAACTATACATAATTTTATATATTTCCTATATATCACTAATTTTATTTAGCCTTTGGCTTGATTATGCTCGGTGAAATTACTGTGGATGATTTGATCTCAGCCCACTGAGACAAGCCAACTTGACTTGAACTAGGCCTGTCAACTTAACTTGACATCAGCCTAGGCGCTAGCTGGGTTACAACTAGGACTCTGTAAAGTTGCAAAGAATTGTTTCAGTTCATTCAGTTGATTGGAAAAAAAAAACATAATCAGTTATTAAGTTGAAAGAACGTCAGAAAACATGCATTTATTTATTCATCAGGTTTAGAATAAGAAAACCTGTATAGTAATGCTAATGATGATTACCAAATCTGAATACATTTTTGTTTTCTTGACTGAGGGCTTTTTCATGATCCCACACTTAAATTCTGAAGCAAAAACTTCTAGAAAATTTCATCAAATAAATGAAGTTAATGAACCAATTGTGATATTTGATTTTGAGACAAAATATACACTAGATCTCTCAGTATATTTTTATCACCAATTAACCAAGATCACAATGAAAACAAACGGAGTAAACAATAAGGAAATTACACTTGTAGTAGCTGACAAGTTTAAATCCCTAGACAAATGGATCAGCTAGTAATACCTTGGTTCCTAACTTGATGCACTAAGAGGGTAACATCTCAAATAATGATTGGAATCACCAATAGATTATGAAACCATGACAATTCATTTAAACCATGAACAACACTTAATAATGAAAATTAGCTGTAAAGTAATAAGGTTGTGTTGATTATTAATTCAGAAGAAATTGTGCATCTAAAACAAGCTATCCGAATAATCAATAAACGGAATCAAAACAAGAGCAAATTGCTTACGTTTTCAGATCCAGTGAGGCCAATTTATCAAGTGAAGATGCCTTCTTTTCTGAGGTTCCTACATAACAAATTGGCACATTGAAACAAGAGAGCTCAGTTTTTATAGATTTGCCTAAAACATAATGAATTATCTTACAAAATTATGGGATGGTTATTCCTCGTTGAGCAAGCTATGCAAAAATCAATAGAGAAGTAAAAGTAAACAATGTTGAGATTGCAAAGAAAAATAAAAGGAAACTAAATATAACTAACCATCTGCCCATTCTGGCTGATACCGAGCTGTTCTATACTTCTGCAAAATTAAACAGCTTCAATGATGAAGCCTACGAGAGCCAATGTTTTTTTTAGGCAATATTTACAAACCTGGAGGTGGCTTTTCACATGATATATGGTCAAGCCTTCCACTTTCATCAACTTAAGCACACCTTTAGGAGTGGCCTCTGATCGTAAAGAACAATAAAAAGTCAAAAGAAAATAAAAAAATGAGAAATTTACATACTTAGCACAAAATTCTTATGTATTTACATATCTCATACCTAAACTTCAATATTTACATAAATAGCACTTAGATGCTTTAAACCTATGAATGAAAAAATATATTTCACTTTTAAAAAGTATTGATAGTGCTATTTTTCATGTGATTTTAAAGATTTGTGTGTTATGTGTGTAAAAGGAACTTTAGGTTTGGCTAAGTAAATACATAAAATTTTTTGCTAAGTATGTAAATGCCCCTAAAACAAGCATATAGCTAGAACCCAAAGTCGAAGTTACTTTCACTTCCACCAAGCTGATTGACAGCATCTACAAAGCTTTCATGGAGTTCAGGGGTCCACCGCATGCGTGGTCTAGGAAGAGCACTGGTTGAAGACAATGGACTAGTGACGATGCACAACTCCCCGGACTGCAACGGCAACTGTGGACAGACATGAGTTTGGTCCGCTGACATGGTCAAAGATGCTTCTTGGTTTGATTGGCACACAGCCTTTGTATGGGGAGATAAAATGTTAACAATCAAATAACGCCCAAAAAAAACAGAAAAAAAACAAGATAAACAATTAGTGAAAAAAAAAAGCAAACTTGATTTTTATTTCCAATATGCGATTCCACCAAAAGTGTAAATAAACCATAAACATATGATCTATCAACCAAGCATTAGGAAAATATGTCATTATTGATCTATGAAGCATTGACACTCAAGAAATTCTTCCATATTCGTGTGTCAAAACTAACACACATTTAACAAGCTAAAATCCAATCTGATGTGTATTAGTTTCAAAATTATGAACACATAAGAGACACACACTTACAAGACCAAGAAAAAACAACCAACAAAAGTGGGGCATAGCGCAAGCTCTTGGTTGTGGTGATGATTGTGCTACCGATTATATTGGATTCAATTAGTGACATTTCAAGGTGATTTGCGAAGGTAATATGATATTGATATTGAAATTATGGCTGATGAAAATGCTATTAGCGAATGAACAATAAAGTATACATGATAAAATATATTGAAATGTGATTATAATTAAACTAACATTAGTTATTCTTTTGTTGGTCCATAAGCTTGTTTATGTGGGCATTTGATATTCTATTTCACTGTGTGATGCTTTTTAACAGAAAATTAACATTAGGTGTTTTTTATTATATTTGTATATTAATATTTTATTAAAAACCCATCTTGTTGATGATGTATCATATCCTACTCATTTTGTATCCCCGTGTTCATATTATGTTCATTCCTGTCAATGTTCATGCTTCAAAGATCAAAAGCCAATATCTATTAATTTTTTAACCAATCCTATAATAGAAATAATAGAATACGCAGTCATTCTTCGACATGAATTTCATTTAGTAAGATGCATATATTTAGTATAAGGTTGCAACGGCAAACACTAATAACCCAAACAAATAAGCATTAACTTATGCCTCAATTGCACGTAGTGGAACTTATTGTGGAAAAAGGGTTGTAAAACAGTTAACTGATGTCACTCAAATAAAATGCAGCGGTACAACATTAGATGAATTTTCATAGTCAAACAAGAACTGGATACCTTCTGTTCAGCTTCAGTTACAACTGGGTCATTAAGAAGATCCTTCCAATCATCGCTATTCAATTCCCACCAATCATTTTGTTTAGTTAGGTCATCAGAAGCCGCAATAGTACTACTATGGATTTGATCATTTATGACTAAGTCCTCGATTTGATCGTTGATCGTGCCTTCCTGGATTTGATTATTGATCCCCCCACTCAAGTTATCAGAATATGTAAGAGCATTATGGACAAACTCAGTATGCAGAGATATTCCACTAGTCTCCATAGGATAATTGCTTGTTGAAGCTTGAAATGATTTTGAATGTGAAGACTGGAGTAAAGATGAGGGAATTCCAAAGCTTTGGGATTGAGAAATAAATGGGGCACCATTAGGATGTCTACCTTGAGGGGAAATGGAAGAGTAATGAAGATTTGTCGATAAACCAGATGCTGACGAGAATAAAGGTCCCACAAACTCACTATTAGAAGCATAAGGGGTATGCTTTGGGACAGAAGTACTACCCATTAACTCTCTGTTCATTTGAAATTGCGATGGGTAATTTTCCACGAATGAAGTGATTATAACACCTAGAGATAAAAATATATAACCAGAAACACCAGATCCGCAAAATTCTTCAAATCAGACTTTGCTCACTCACATAACTGAGCTTGCTTCATTTTAGCATACAATGTTTTGATTTCATGCATCTACTGTATTTGTGTGTTGCCCACTCTCTATTCCCATAAACTGCAGCCACAAATATACTGTCATAAGCCTGAAGAAAAAAGTTTCTGTAAGCAATTGATAAAACCAAGTAACCAACAGATACAACAACATGCCAAAAAAAGAAATAGAAATAACAAAAAAAGTTCCAACTTTTTTAAGAGAATCGACATGTAAGTAGTATATTTTTATATTGACAATACATATTTCTAACATGATGGAAAAAGTTTGAAACTCAATCAGCGACAGCACTTTCTACTATCATTAAGAAGCTAATAAAATATATTGCCCCAACATGCAATAATTCAAAGAAAAAGAATTCAAATGTCTTTATTACCTTATCGCCAACACTATTTTGATAGCAACATAGTTAAACCACAATCATTCATTGACAAGGACATCATCACCAATGCAACAGAAATGCAATGCACAAATGAAATAAGATAGCTTCTGCATAGAATCCCATTGAAAATTAAAGCAACCCTTAAATAGCAATAGCCAGAATAGTTCAGCAGATCATTATTAGCTATTAGCGATAGATCATAATGACAAGTAGCACATAATATATCAGTAATATAATTTACTGTAGAATAAATGTCAGCAAATATAGACAAAAAGTATGGGGATAAATTGCATGTAGATTTCATTTTCATCTGTAGGGTTAATAGAGGTACCGTTGTTCTAGACCCAAAAGAGGTTCTCTAGCTTAAAGATAACCATGTACCTTCCAATTTAATCTAGTAAATGGCACTATTAAATAAAGATTTTACCCTTTCTAAGCCAACTAACTAAGGCTTATGAGGGGAGAAAGGTTATTGTTGTTTTATAAAGTGCTTAACAGATATCCTCAGGACTAAGGGTTATGTTGTAGCAGGAAGGAAGGGTAAAAACCTTCCATTGTAGCTTCTATGGTTCAATCTAATATTTCACAACTTCTCATTCAAGAAAAAAATTTATCCTTTCAAAGATAACTAATCCGCTACAAAGTTATAAAAGCATGGTATAAGCAAACCAAACTATGAAAAAGTTGGTATCGCTCATTGCCAACAGAATTCTAAATCAGTTTAACATTTTACAACTCATACAAAAAATGAGACGGCAAAAGATAAATATTTTTAGAAGTAGAGATAAAACCCAAGTGCGATAAAAAAAAAACGTGGCATCCCATGTTAACCAACCTTCTTCAATCAGTATTTGGGTTCTCTCCAATTGCCATGGTAATTGCGCAACGTACACCCATCCTGGCCGAGACTAATTCCACCCAATAATATGAAACCAGTGCAATATTCATGAATTAAATCAAGTCCATCCAATCCACACAGCATGGCTACAATAAATAACTACTAACTAAAAATTAACATCACAGTTAGAGAAAAATTGAATCCTAGTAGACCAAGGATAGTCTCGAGTCGAACAACATATTCCTGGTCAAAAAGGTAATACGAGCACTTGATTCAGCGAAATTACCTAGCTTAGATCAATTCCACACAATTATATGAACCCAAAACAACTTTCATAAAGCTAATCAAGTCCATCCAATCCACATTGAATGGCTGTGATAAATAACTGTAGTTTATGAAATTAACCCAGTAATTCAAGAGAAACCAAATACCAGTAAACCAAGGATTGTCTAGAGTTGAACAGGACTGTTATTGGTTGAAAGGTTGTAAGAGCACTTGATTTACTAATATGACCTTTGATTCCTAAATTGAACAAAAAATGAAGGTTTCGAGTTTGAATCCATGCAAAAAAGAATATTCTTGGTTGAAAGATTATTGAACAGCCTTTGTCAATTGAGGTAAAGCACATGAATGACAAGCTTGAGTGTAGGGTTGTTAACGAGCTGAGCTAGGGCCGGCTCGAAATTGGATCGAATGGATTGAGCATAGATTGAAATCGGCCCGTGACTCGTTCTGTTCAAATCGAGCTCAATCCGGCTCGAAATGGAAACAATTTGGCTCAAATTTGAGTAATTTGGATTTGTTCCAGCTCTAAATCGGCTCTATCAAGCTTGAAATCGACATAAGATGGCTCAAATTGAATTATTTGGGTTTGTACCAGCTCCAAATCAGCCCCTAGCTTGTTATATTCGATTTTATTAAGCATCATATATAGCTTCTATAAATAAAAACAATAAATACTTCGAGTCAATCTCGAGATAGTTAGAGTTGATTAGTGTATGGCTTGAAATCAGCTCGAAAAAAATTCAATCCAAAGTTCTTGCAGTACTTTGGCTCATTTATTTCGATCCGAGCTAAAATTACAATCAATTTTCGAGCATCTTCGGGCTAAATTCACAGCCCTTGTTGAGGGTTGGACTGCCATAGCTGGTTTTGGTTCAACTAAAAGAATGTATTAGTAGACCAAGAAAAATTGTTAGTCGAACAATTATTAAGTAAATCATAGCCACGGCTTGACTTCCACATCTATAAGAGATGCCATAAGTTTGGTCCCTGCGAGCCTGAGAAGTATGACTCAAGAAAAATTCTCTGCCAAAAGAAATAAAACAAATACTTAAGCAGTACAGTGCAGAAATCAGAAACCTAACCTAGGAGAACATGACACCGAAACTTGACACGGATTCTTGGACAAAAAAATGAGCGTAACAAATAAACAAAACCCTAAAGCCCCTTCCTGTAGATCAGGACACCAAAAATCAGCCCTAATAATAACTGCATAAAAATCCAAACACTATCTCCCATAATTACATCGGTTGAACTCAAAATCAGCCGTCATATCAGAACCAAACAACAAAATACAATCTTTAATCAAGACGGCGAATAAATCGAGGAAAAAGACGACAATTTAGTATTAAAAACCATAAAATTATCCGATTTGCATGAACTCAAATGGTGATGGGCTTCGCGAAGTATTACCAGATACGCAAATCCAGACAGGCGAAGGCTTCTCTCACTCTCTCACTTTCCCTCTTCCTCTGACGGGGGTCAGGGAAGAGAACATCAAAAAGAGATTCCGACCCGTGCCGATCACCCAACTCCATATCCCAATGTGCAAGAAATGGTTTTGCCAATAGTTCAAAAAAAAAAGTAGAATCATAATTCAATTTTTTATTGAAGATTAATTAAAAAAATAAAAAATATATAAAAAATGGCTCAATCATGCCTCAGGGGTTGTAAATCTAATCTACTGATCTGTCGGTTTTAGGATTTAGGGGATTTATGGCTGAAATTCACGAAATCCGAATTTATCAAATTCACGCCTTCATCTTGTCCAAAAGTATTGTCTGGTAAGATATAGCTTAAATCTCACTCTAAATTCATTGCCAAACAACCCCTTAAAGATAATTGATCATTTTTAGTTGTGATTCTTAAGATGATATGAATATTGATCAAAGATTGATAAATTATAATTTGATCATTTTTCTTTTATATTTGATTATTGCTCAAATATTATTTGATTATGACTAATTTTGAAGTCAAGGGAGAAGATATCATGAGCGTCCAAGTGGTGATGCTTGGACATGTTTCCAACTATTATACTATTGGAAGAGCTACATTGCTATTCAGAAATGAAATGTCATCAAATCATCGTAAGCCCAAGAACCACCAAGCTCAAGCTACATTTAGACCTATGGACATATTCATTTTCCTTGATAAATATATGAATTTGGTTTGATGCTTCTTATTTTGTTATGACCTTTGTTTAACTTCACACACTATGTATTTTACGTTCATATAATTATAATAGATGGGCTAACTTCTATTATATTTTTATTTATGACTCACATTTATTTTAATAACTTATGAGATTTATTTTGATAATTTAAGTTATTAATTTTCTTAACTCATAACTTATGTCATAAATTATGACAACTTATGATATTTATTTTGATAACTTAAGTTATTTATTTTTTTAACTCATAACTTATGTCATAACTTATGATAACTTATGATATTTATTTTTTTAACACATATAACCCCTAAAATAAATAAATGTTATTAATTTATGTCATTGATTTTATTAATAAAAATCAATTAATTTATTAAATTATTATAAATCCTATTAGTTAGTAACCCCCTTGATGGATAGTGGTTAAATAGAGCATGAATTTGAGAATGGGTCATCTCTCTACCTAACACACCTCGTACATTTCTATCCATCAGAAAGTACAGAAAGTTTCAAGGGATTAGAGAGAGAAACTC